CACCTTGCAAAAATGTTCAGGATGGGTATGCCATTGCTAAGGTAGGTAGAACAGCAGCACCCATGCGCGAGGCAAAGATATTGGTGGTCTTAGAGGTGGGAAGCCTGGAATCTCAGGTCCATGTGCTCCTCAAAAAGTCTTGAGTGTGGCTCCAGAGCCCTCCCCCCACCATTGCTAACAAATTAATTATAGATGGGGAAAATTATTAAATATATTGTTAACTGTATTTAATTAATATCATATAATTATGAAATGTAGAGTTATAATTGGCTGAATAGCTACATTCAGAGAATACTCCTAAATGACTCTACATCAGATTGGAGAGTAGTATCAAATGAACTCTGTCCTGGGCTGTTCATCGCTCTTCCTAGTAACCTGGATGAAGTAGGGATTAGGAAACTTGCAGATCATGCAAAACTAGAAGGACTGGCTGACACTTCAGAAGGGAAAGAGAAGATTCAAAAAGATATAGGAGGCTTGAATAGTGGGCCAAAATGAACAGGATGAAATTTAAAAGGGAGAAACTTAAAGTCTTACATCCAGAGAGAAATAATGAAAGGCATATGTATAAGATTTGAGGTGGGGTGGTCCTGGAGATCCTGTGAAAAGCCTCTGGCTATTGTAGCAGAGCACAAGTTGAACATGAGCCAAGAGTGTGATGCAGCTGCTAAAAAGGTGAATGCCTTTGAAGATATACTAGCAGGGTGGAAGGAATTGTCCCACACCGTTTTGTTTTAATGAGGCCCCTCCTGGGATACTCTCTCCAATTCTGGGCGCCTCAGTCTAAAAAAGACATTGACAAACTGGAGAGATTTCAAAAAAGGGCTACCAAGCTGATGAATGGACTGGAAACCAAGTCCTGTGAGGAACTGTTAGAGGATCTCATATTTAGTCAGGAGAAGAGAAGATTGAAGCAGAGGAATGATGACAGTCTTCAGCTATCAAAGGGGTTGTATTCTAAAAGAGGAAGCAGACTTTGATACCCTAGAGATCAGGACAAAAAAAAGTGTGGTTCGGAATTACAGGTAGTTCTTGGTTAACGACCACTCATTCAGTGACTGTTCAGTTATGATGGCACTGAACAAGTGAGATTTATAACTGATCCTTGAAGTTCTCCGTGGTCACATGATTGCAATCTGGGCGCTTGGCAACTGACTCATACTTATTACGGTTGCAGCATCCTGCAGTCATGTGATCGCCATTTGTGACCTTCCCAGCTGGCTTCCCACAAGCAAAGTCAATGGGGAAGCTGGCAAGGAAATTGCAAGTCACATGGGTAATTCTCCCCCACCTGGCTGCAGCCACCCCAAACCTCACCGCACCAGCCCCTTGCACATCCTCATGAGCCCTCCCCCACCTGGCAGCAGCCACTTACCTGCTTGCCAGCTTGCTTGTGAGCTGCCCGGGATTTGCGACTTCCTGCCAGATTCCCCACTGACTTTGGTTGTGGGAAGCTGGCAGGAAGTTGTGAGGAGGTCCTCTCTTAATGATGCGCAAACCTTGCTTAACAACGGCAACAGGGAGTGCCAGGATTGCCATCACTAAGCAATGCGATCACATAATGTCACACTTTATGACTGTATCGCTTAGTGACAGAAATTCCCATCCCAATTACTGTTGTTAACCAAGGACTACCCGTAGTGGGAAATAGAATCAGGATAGGAATTAGAAGGAATTTTCCAATCTAGCCTACAACAGTAGTATTTCTTCATGATATCCATATGAATAATAAACCATTTTGACCCTGTTTAGCTTTTGGAGATCAGCCAAGTCACCTAGATCCTGCCACCTGCCCAGGCCATTTTCTGATCAAGCACACTTATTTCTGCTTTATTCATTTCCATTTCCGTTTGGATAAGGAAATGTGACAATCCCTTTGTACTGCATGCTTTCTTTTTTGTGCCCTCTGAGTCTCCTCCCCCATTCCAATCCCCTTTAACTTTTTTGTTTTTTAATTATGTTGTTTTTCTCAGTTATCAGCTGCCCAAAGCCACAATTGTCCAAGTTGGGTGGCCATATAAATGCTTTAAATAAATAAATAAACAATTAACAACCTAGGGGTCCTTCTGAACTCACAGCTCCTGCCCAAAGAGCAGATGGCAATTATTGTCAAGCGGGCCTTTGCACAGGATCATCTTGTGTACCAGTTGCTTTCCTCAACTGGGAGACCCTTCAGATGGTCACTCATGCCTTGGTCATGTCACATTTGGATTACTGTAATGCACTCAACATGGGTTGTGCTTGAAGACCATCCAGTTGTTATCTCAACTGACTTTTGCCCATGGATGGTTGGCCCTGTAGGTATTAGTCAGCAAAACATATGAAGGTATGCTCCCCTAAAGAAGCCATAGGATGATGTAATATAAAGGCCTTCACATAACATGCTAAAATAATGGCTGTGTTCTTAAAACATATTTAACCACTGACTACCCAACCACATTTTAACCTAGTCTAGCATTTTGTGCAAATCCAGATATTATGTCTTCTAAAAGATAAGAGTTTGTTTTTCCTCATTCATCTGCTCTCCAAGGAACAAGAGGGAAAATTCCTCAGAATAGTAAATATTGAAACCCATTAGGTGACATCCATCCATAACAGAACAACTTGTTAAAACATTTTTTCAAGAACCACTTCTTACAGCTGCTGTAATTATTTTTTATATGGTTGTGTAATCCTTTATGCCGAAGTGTCCTGTTTTGTATTGACAGAAGATGAGCTGGCCACCCCACCTCTAGATGGCATCATTCTTCCTGGTGTGACAAGGCAAAGCATTTTAGATCTGGCACGCAAGTGGGTAGGTATCTGCTCTGATAGTTTTGATCTTTCTACATGCTATCTAGGATGGGATTTTCTTCATGTAGCAGGGCTATTTGGCTATCCTACTTCTTCCAAACCCTGCAGCTTGCAATGGAATTTCCACTCAGTTTACAAACTAGCTTGCAACTTCTTGCTTCGGTTAAGAAGGTGTTCCCAAATCCAGCATTTGGATGAAAATGTAGACTCGTATATTAATAACTGACTCAGCGATTGGCAAAGAGAAGCATAGACAAATAGTTCTGCTAGATCAGGAAAGGCCCATCCTAGGTAGCATTGGTTCTCATAATGGCCAGTCAAATGCTTCAGTGTACTTGTCCCTCTTCTGACGTGATTTCCTTGCAACTGATATTTGAAGGCATGTCATCCCACATCTGGAGGTGATACTGAGACTTCAAAACTAATAGCTCTTGATGAACCCTTGACTCTGAGTTTGTCCAATCTCCTTTTAAAACAATCCAAGTTAGTGGCCACCGTCTGGTCTTCTGGTAATTAATTCTGCAAGTTAATCGTGTGCTGTAATATGATGAAATCACAGTCCTATTTTAACTGACCCTTACTGGGTGATCTTATAGCAACTATATTGACATAACCAAGTCCTGCCCTGTCTGTTCAATCAGGCAAAGGATCACTGCTAAAACAGTCATGTTTTACTCAGACTGTTACTTGAATTCAAAGGATAGCAGACAAAGACACAGCTCTTTGATATGCTAGTATTATTACAGGTATTAAAAAATGCCATAGATGGGTGGGTGGGTAGGTAGGTAGAGAGATAGAGAGATAGATAGAGATAATCAGACATGAGATTCAAATCTCATGCCTGTTTTTTCCACTTGTGTGCCCTTACAGGCAGAAACTAGTTGATAGGTTGCCCAGAAAGCAATACTGATGAGTCTATGTAGTCAGTGGAAGTTAAATTCAACTTGAAATTGACCTTACAGTACTTTTAGCCCAGCTAGATGGCAGCATCTGCATTGGTATATTTCAAAACACTGAGCAGGGTTGAATTTGGTTAGTACTCAGATGGGGACCATCAAGGAATGCCTGGGCTAAATTGGAAAGTTGAAGAAACATCTCAGAAGAAGGCAATGACAAATCACTGTTTTATTGAAAACTGCTGTATTGAAAGCTACATGGATGTCTCCTTGAAGTCTCCAAGAACTGACCGTACTTAAAAAAGAGTTTACCTTTTATAGATGTAAACTCTTTGTATTTTAAGCAACAAAAGAGTCTTAGCTATGGACAAACATGGTTTTTAGAGTTGCTTGCATATCTTTTTTCAGGGACAATTTAAAGTTTCAGAGCGATACATTACTATGAATGATCTCACAACTGCTTTGAAGGAGAAGAGAGTGAAGGAGATGTTTGGGGCTGGAACAGCTTGTGTTGTATGTCCTGTTTCAACAGTACTGTACCTGGGTGAGGTAAGAGCCAGTGTTCTGGAGGTTCGGATTTGTTACTACCAGCCAATGCAGATTTCTCAATAAACTCCATAACATAAATCCTCATTGGACTTTGGAAGTTCTTTAGTAAAACATTGTTTGAAATTTGGATACTGGACTATTGGGCTATTTTTATCTGGTCAGCAAATGTCCTTAGCTTTCAGATAATAAGGGTTAAGGACATCCTTAAGACATCTTTAAAGAACAACCAGCTGATGCGTTGAACAGCTGTAGAGTAAATGACAGTAGATTTGTTATGGAGAATTGAATTTGAGTTTTATTTGGAACCCTGGGAAAAAACTTTGACCTAGGAGCTATTTTGTTTGATAGCAGTCATGCATAATCTTGGAAACTATGAGATCTTGTAGCATAAGACATGTATCTGACAGATTTGCAAATAAGTCATTCTAGGAATCTGGGAAAGTGGAAATTCCATATTTTTTAAATATGGAATGAGAGAGAGAGAGGGTAAGAGAGATATTACGTGCCATTAAGTTGGTGTTGACTCTAGCGAATCTCTCCCTCCCTCCCTCCCTCTCTCTCTCTCTTTTAAAATTATAGTATTATAGCTGGAAGAGATTATTATGGCCATCAAGTCCCATTTCCTTCTCAGTGCACAAATCCTTATTAAAGCATCCCTGATAGATGCTATCTAAACTCCTCTTGGATATGTTCAGTGAACGTGAACCCACCACCTCTCTGGGTTGTTGGTTCCACTTTCAGATTGCTTCTACTGTTGTATTCCGGAACAGAAGAGAACAGAACTTGGTCTTCTTCTGTGTGGCATCTTTTCAGGTATTTTAAACATTTTATCATGATCCCCTGTAGTTTTCTCTTCTGAAAGCTAAATATAACCAGTTCCTTCAGTCTCCCTTCATAAGACTTCAGGGCTCCTGATCATGCCCTACTGTCTTCTTCGAACCTCTTCCAATTTGTCTAAATCTTTCTTAAAGCATGGTATTGACGATTTATTTATCAAAGGGCTCAAGGAATGACTTGAGTAGAAAGCTTCTAAAATTTCTGTAAAAGTTACAGTACAGTAGGACACAGGGCAAAGATTCAGTGGCACCCGAATCACAGGGACCAATCTTTTCAACCATAGCTGTTGTTTGATATTTAGCTGGTCTGAATTATTGAAAAGGTGCCATCAAGTTGTTGTTGACTCTTAGTGACCGCCTGGGTAGATTTTCTCCATGACAATCTCTCTAACCTGGTTCTTCAGGTGTTCCAACAATGCACCCATTGCAGCTGTAACTGAGTCCATCCACCTTGTTGCTGACCTAAAGATCTTGCTGGAATCATGAGTGTTCTCAGGAAGGGAAAGGTCCATGATGTCATGCCTGGTTTTATGTTTCCCTTACCCTCCCTGCAGATGCCATGATGTAATTTGTGTCAGTCAAATAAAATGTCTTTGGCAGTTTGATTTTATTCTTGGAAATGAATTTTACATTTGTGTGATAGTTAAATAATGATCTCTTGTCAGCTTTGCTTTGCTTCTACAGAATTTGCTTTGCAGTGAATTAGTTATATTCCAAATGGGTGAAAAAAGAAAGTTTTTCCACTGCTGGGTTTTCATTTATTGGTTTGTTTCTCTGTTTCTGAGCCTTTTGAAATTCCACAGGAAATCCAATTTTCTGAATACCTTTATAGTTTAATTTAGCTTTTCTTTTCTTCTAGAATTTGCACATTCCAACCATGGAGAATGGACCTCAAATAGCAACCCGTTTCTGGAACCAGCTCAATGATATCCAAGTAAGGATCTCACATTTTCTATGAGAAATAGACATGGTTGAATAGAAATGGTTGAATCGCTCAATTATTTCCTAGCATCCTGACAAAAATACAGTATACGGACTTAGTTCCACCAGTCTCTATAGTTGGTGAAGTTGATTCAATCATGCTGTTTGTGAATGAAAGGCTATAACATGGAAAGTAATGCTATCAATGGCTACTAATCATGAGGGAAATATATTATCTCTAACAACAGAAGGACTATACCTCTGAATTCAGCATGCTGAAGAACAAGACTGGAAAAGTGTTAATGTACTCATGTCCATAGACTTCTGGTTGGCCACCAGGGGAATAAAATGCCTACTAGGTAGCCTTTGTTTGCTCCACTAGGACATCCCTGATAGGTCAAGTCAAGGCCCATCTTAGCCCAGCATTTTACTTGTCACCGTAGACAATCAGAGGCATTGGGATGCTCCCAAGCAGGAGATGGAGACCTGTCCCTCTCTCACCATTATTCACCTGCACCATATTTTTGGAGGGATGTTTTCCCCAACCCAGATGTAATATTAAGTCTTCAAGACTGATAGCCTTGCTCTCCATAAATTTATCCAATCCCCTTTTATAACCAGCCATGTTAGTGGCATCACCTTGTTTGTGGCAGTGAGTTCCACAGGTTTTTGGCTCATATTATATTCTAATGGGCCTATGTTAGAATGCAGTGGTTTCTGCAGCAAACTGAAATGATGCCATCATGCAAATAGGATCATGACGTACTTGCATCCCAGCATTTGCTGCAAATGCATAAGTCACTGCATTTGTGTGATGACATTGTTACCCATGTTGTGATTTCATCCCATCCCACAAATGCCCGTGTTGTAATGTGTTCTGGCAGAAATCTCTTCTTTTACAATAGTATATATCAGCTTTCTCCTGTCTGGTCATGTCTTGACGTGTTGGGACCACATTTACCAGAATTCCAAGTCCCATGGCATCCTTTTAACTAAGCTGATTATGAATGATGGGAATTACAGTTTCAACACAGTGGAGGGTGCCCTGTTGGGAAGATTGCCCTCTATCATTTGCATCTGGAAACCTATAACATCCAGGATAGGCATGATAGGAAGCCAACTTCCCAACTCTGTAGTTTCTGAAGTCTTCTGATCCATTGAGGGCTGACCCAGATTCCCTCCAAAGTGTTTACATTGGCTTATATTTCCTTTTTGAAAACGCTTAGGAGTAGACCTTATTTAAATGGAATGCTGAGTAAGGAGGAAATTCAGTTCTGTTGCTTGGCAAACAAAGTAGATGGTGGAGTGAAGGAAACAACAGTGATGGAAATAGCCATGGAGAGGATTAAGAGGCACAGGGCTGCAGAGTTTTTTTCCAAACCAAGGGACATTCATGGGCCTTAAGCAACATGCTGGGCTCACCCTCAATAATTAGTAGGAGTGGCAGAACAAAAATCTTGCTTTTGTTTCATTTACTTCATCTGCTGCAAATTAAATATAGTTAACATGAGTATCCCCTAGAGATGTATTTAATACTTTTACTCTTCGGTTACATAAAACATGACCATGGGGTAACAACTTTTAGAAGTCTCTTGGGGACAGCTTCCAAAACTTTGAGCAACCAAATGCAGCTCTGGGGCTTTGGGAATGTACTTCTTCTGTACACCCCTGTCTGATCCTCTTCATCAGCACTTTTAACAGCCAACAGTAGTCAGAGTTTTCAGAGACTCTAAAATGGTCTACCTGTTGAGGCTTACAAGAACTCCATATTTTTCAAGTAAGAGGTACCTGGTGAGTTTCTTCGTTGAAAAAAGACTTGAACCATGAAGACTCCATGGTTCCCCATGCAGATTCTCCTAATAACCTTTGTTTGTATTTCAGTATGGAAGAGAAGACAGCGAATGGACAATCGTGGTGTCATGAATGTGAAGGGCAAGAACATTTCAGCCTTCTGCAACACAACAAAGCAGGCTGAAATGCCACCTGAATGATGACCAGTTTTACTGTAGCTCTGTGTAGAGTAGTCTGTGTATTATCACTTTGTTCCTGAGCTGGGGAGTTGTGTCCACGTGCCAGGAAGTAAATCTTAGGGCTATCATAACTAGGCTGCAAGAATCAGGATGATCACTAAATAGCAGTAACAAGCTTTCTTTCTGTATCTCTTTGTTGCTATATAGTGGTCAAACAGATTTTTGCAGGCCAGGTAAGGTAACCCTAGTGGACACATTTTGATCTTCTTCTGTGATTTTGGTCTAGAATAGAAATCTGTCTTCTGGTGGAGGTGCTAGATGTCAGCAATAGAGACTTTCCTAACAGATCCCTTGGTGTCCCTTCTATCCTTGGTACAGTGGACAATTGTGTTTAGAAGTTCTTCAACTGCTCTTCATTGCAAACCAAATACTCTTGGTCTTGTAACTTTTTAACCAGATTGTTACATGACTCTTTGCCAAATGACTGAGAGTAAACCTTTCACTATCTCCTTCTCATCTGCAACCCTAGAAAATTAAA